TTGCATCCCAGCATTAAGAAATGCGCATTCCAGTGTAGTTACTATATGTTTGTGTCATGGGAAAAGTCCACAACACGATCTGATTCCCTGAGATGTTTCACAGGCTAGAAGTGAGTTGTGTCTCTTCCTTTGCAATGTACTAGTGTGTTGCACTTTTTGGTTGCAGCAGTCCACAATGCTGCTTCTGAATCTGTTAATGGGGTGGACTAGGCAACTGTGGCAGTTTATCACATAGATACCGGTGTGACATAGCTGCTTGAAATTTAAAAAGAAAACAACTCCTTATATTTTGGTATACAAATGTGAACTTTTCAGTGTTGGTTCTTTTGAATTTTTCCTTCTTTAGTACAGCTCCAAAACAGTACATATTTCATTTCCCAAAGGAGTGTGTGCTTGTTTAAAATGGGAACTGTGATGTGTGGATAATTACTACCAGATGGGCGATGTTAGCTTATTTGGACACACATATTCGAAATCCGTTTTCTGCCATGGTTTGCTCTTTTATATTGAGTAACTGTTGGAGGACTTGCAGTTCTTAACATGGAGGAAAAACTTGCAAAAGGTAATTAGGACTTTCTGGCCAGGCACAGCCTATCTGTGGCTCTCAAAGCCTTGATTTGCAGGCAGAGCATGGGGCTTCCACACCAGTGCCACTCCACCTGCCCAACAGTAGGAGCGTGCAGGGAAACCTGAAATCAATAGTCTGACTAGTTGCACATCCTCTCAAGGAAATAAAGTTGCATGTTTGCTGTAAAACTGTGTGCTCCTCTGCCATGGAACTGTGGGATGGTTGAGGAATGCCCACTTACTCCAACTTGAGAACTGCTCAGAACGTGACATCTTGGAGGTATGTTTTCTCTGTCTTCTGTGAAGATTTTTTTATAGGTACATAGCCAGGAAGGTTGGGTGCTTGGTTACAAATATCTCTTTTGTTCGTTCTGGAATATGAGCTTTTGTAGAGCTTCCTGCTTTTAAAGCAGAATGATGGAAACTGTTCAGACAATGATGTGTCCTCACCCTTGTTTGTATCTAAAATGACCCTAGGCTGGTCTGTTTGAATCTCAAGCTGTAGCAAAAACAGCTGGTTGCCAGGAAAAATGCTCTTAAGCCTGTAATTGGGCTGCATAACTGCCAACAAAACAAACACGAATGACAAATTTCGTAATTTATTCCGTTCCTGAATTGGTAATTTTTGTCATCTTGAAACTGTCATGTTCTTTAAAATCCTACCTTGGACCTCATCTTTTTCAAAAATGTTGTAACAGTATATCACACCCTCACAAGTGTCCTTGCTATGGGGCACACATTGCGCTGAACTTGCTTGTCAAATTTTCAAAACATGTGAAGGATTTTTAACTGGCTAATCTTTCATGTAACAAGAAATGTCCAAGTCTTCTTTATATACTGAGAGCTCTTTTGTAGCATCCAATAGCAGAGATGCATTGCCTAATATTACCTGTGGTAAACCTTTTATCCCCAAGTTCTGTTCTTGTTCCTTCCTATAGCTTCCGTGTTATAGCAGGGAGAACATTTTGGTTAGAGCTCAACCTACAACAGATTCTTTTTAAATAAGAAAAATAGGCACCCAGTAATCTACCTGATCTTGGCATAAATTCATAAATTGTACTGGAAACAATTGTAAATGAGTATGAAGACCCTTCTTGAGTCTCGGACAACTAATTGAGAATGATACCTATTGCCAGATTTATCTGGATAACAATGCCAAAATTGCTTGATTCCGTATGCTTCCACTTGGTTCTGCTCTTTCGATTTCCAGCATTGATTTTTCAACTAGAATCTTAACTAGATTAACTGAACATAAACTAGAAGGTTACTGTGGATATTCCAGCTCAAAGCACAGACACACTTTTCTTTAAATTAAATTCTGAAGACAGGCCCTTACTGGACTATTCAAGTGCTTTTGGTATTTTACTGCACTTAGATTTCAGGTTTGGGAAACTTTCATGTTTTCTTAGGGAAACCCCCTCATACCTGGAGCTTCAGTTCTCTCAGAACTTAGATAAAAAAGTGTGCTAGATTAACTGCTAGTCAGTCTGACTACTTCATGGGGCTGCTTAACCCCTTAGCAACTTAGTCTTCTTATTTTAGGCTGGTAGTCTCTATGGCTAGCTTTTTCTGAACGTATTCTTTAACAGGAGGTGATGATACAAGTCTGTCTGGATTTCTTGGATTTACAAAACTATGAATGGGCAAGCTAAAGATTGAGGCAACAGGTTAAACACCACCAGTAAAAAGCAACACGGGCTTAAGAGCAGCAAGAAACATTAAAAAAAACACTAACATTGCTTTAGTAGATTATTTTACATCGAGTTTTTAGTCTCAGCCTCTTGTTAGTCCTTAGTATATTCTGATCTCACATGCCCTTTTCTCATCAAATTTCTTTAACTAAAAGCAAATGCAAAATGTGTGGACCATGAAGAAGACAAGAATGTTAGCGTTTCCAAAGGGTCTGCAGCATGGTCCAGTCATTAGGGAAGATGTGATATGTTTTACTAAGAGTGTGGGCAGGAAGAAAGCAGGTTCGAGGACGATGACTGAGAATTAGAAGAAAGAATGAATATGCAAACCAAGGGGGCACTACAGGAAAAAAAATCGCCTATGTGTGTTTGTACATACTTCAGTAATGGACTAAGTTACTGCAAAAGCTTTGGAAAATCCCATCAGCATGAAAATAAGTGCTTTGGTAGTTAACTTGATTATAGATCCACTACATGGTCATGTCCCAGCATGTAAGGATGCAGCATTCACGTTTTCATCATGCTGTGTCCGTGGTGGGAACACAGGTGTTAAGCTGGAGTGAGATGACTCATCTCTCCTTTTTGAGCAGAGAAGCAGGGAAGACCAGGGTGAGTCCTTTCAATTAATGAGCTCTCTGGTATCCTGAGATTTACCATCGAGAGCTAGGCGTGGTTTTCAATCGTAGCCCACTGCCACTGTAAAAAGCCTCTAAGTGCTTAATATGAAATTACAGCACAGCTACTTAATAGCCCTACTAATGTGTCAGTGTCCAAATAACTGTTAAGACTGCTTAAACTGAGTAATTGAAAGGGAATCTTTCCCATTCAAGATCAAAAATATAAATATTTCTAGTAAAGGGCTGGCTGGTTGTTCTAACCAGCCTTTACAGCTGCAGAATAATAATATAATTAATAATAAAACTTGCAGCAAATGAGAGTGTGTAGCATAAAAATTACTCATTTCGATTAGTCTTGCGTCAGACCTTAATACATGACTGGTTTCTGGGTGCTCATTCTTCGTAGTTTTTCTTAAGAATGGTGTATTCTGCTGCTTTATTTGTTCTGCAGGGATGCAGTGAGTATTCCCTGCCTCCAGAACAGGGTGCTCTTCAGACAGTAGCCTGTGGTCAGGCTGCAGCAAGAGTGACCAAGAGGAAACAGGGAATCTGTTGTAAAGATGAGGTTTTCCCTGGGGAAAACCGGGTGCAGGTGTGGCCCTACCAGTCTGTGAGCTCCTCTGGTGTGGTCACTTGTGGACAAGTCTGTGTGATTTTTGGGCCAGTGTTTTGGGGGGGGGTTGCCCCCCCCTCTTTTTTTGCCTTCTTTTTTTTCTTTTTTTCTTTCCCCTAATGTATCCTAGCTAAAAGAAAAGCATATAAAATGAGTTTCAAGCTCTTTGCACGCACAGGGCCTATGAACATAAGCGTGGGCATTGACAGCAGCAAAGTCACTATATCTGTGGGTCTCCCGTTCAGCTCAGGCCTCCTGTGGCTTATTTGTGCATCAGCAAATTAGGTGTGAAAGCAGCGTATAGCAAGCTCGAAACGCCTGCGGAGAAGGACAGTGTTCTTTCTCTCTGTGATCCCGGCTGCCGCTGGAGCAAGCGGAGATCGATCGGTCTAATAATGTCTGGGGCTCGCCTTTCATAAAAGAAGGGCTGTGGCTTTAAGTAATCGCTGGCTGCCTGTGCCAATTGCAGAAGCTGCAGTATCTGCCGCTGTCGGGAGCGCCCGGCGCGGCAGCAGGATAACCTGCGGAGGCAAGGTCCAGCCTGCGGCTCGGCCAGACCTGCCCGGCTCGGCGGTGCCGCCGCCCGCCGTCGCCGATGAGGGCCGGGGGGCCGAGCGGGGGGCTGCCGGCGCGGGAAGATGGGCTGCTCTAGCAGCAGGCTGTGCCTCTATTCTCAGTGTGCTGCAGCAAGGGTAATGAGTGTTTGTTTCACAGCTTTGCCGACGGCAGGGAGCAAGGTGAAGCACCCTGCCAGGAGGACGCGTGGACCTTGTCACCCCCACGCCGTGGCCATGGGTGTGGGGTGGCGGTGCCGAGCCTTGGAGCAGCCCTGCCGTGGTTGTGCCTGTGCCGCTCCTTGGGCTGCAGGTCTAGGGGCACGGGGGCCTGACCGGCCACCTTCCCTGGCCGAGGCACAGCTCCCGGGAAAAGCAGGGAGATGGGTGCTTCTGCTTTGTTATGATCTGTTCACAGATTCCTTATGATTCTCTCTGTGTAAAAAACACTATCTATCTTAACATTAAGAACTGTGAGCAGAAGGGTGGGTTGTATTCAACTTTGAACGGGGCTGTGCCTTTCCTTCATGGAAGACTGAGTGTTTAGCAAAGTTTTTGGTTTTGTGTTTGAGTAAGCTTAAGATAAATATTTAATGCATGCCTCTTTCACATATACACTATACTTCTGTGCCCTTGACAGCTATCAGTTGATTTGTTCTGGAGGCTTGTGTTGCTACACCCACCATAAAATATGTAATTAGTTGCTGCAAAGTAGGATTTTAATTGCAATGTTATCCTGGAAAAAGCTTTTCTTTGTTTTAAAGTATAACTTCCTTAACAACAGAAGAACATCTGTATATATTGTAACAGATGAACTGTTATCGTGATTCATATCTTGGCTTCTTGTTCCTGCCTCTTGTTTTCCTGCAGAACACATGTAAGTTAATTGTTGGAAGGTGCCCCACTCAGATCACTGGTAACCAAATGTTTGCATTTGTTTGTTTATTTTTCTCTGCAGAGGGAGGAAGCATTGAAACAGCGTAAAGAGTTATCTCAAGAACTAGTTAACCTTCGAGGAGAACTAGGTAAGAATTTATTTTTGTATTCTTCATTAGAACAAAAATGAAGCAAAACAGAAAGACAGATGCCCTGGTATTGTAATGACAGTCATTTAATTCCCTGACTGAATTCCGCTCAGAAGCTTTAAGCGCTGTGGAGCCCTGACAGCGTGACCCCAGGTTCACTGAATTCCTGGCACTGATCTGACTGCGCCTAGCGGGGCCTCCTTGCAAAACATGCATCTGATGACCCAAGCACTCGCTTTTTAAAAATGGGAGGATGGCTGACAGCATGTATACTTCTGTTTGATCCCTAACTTGTTTGTATGCTGTCTTCTAGAGATTTGCTGGCAAAACATTCATAAACCTGTAAAATATACTGCGCAAAATCTGCGTTTTTGCTGTAGTGACTTGTAGGTGGATGAGTGTAAAATTAAGGAAATGCTTTCAGGCTGATGAGATTAAGTCTTTGAACTCATCCTGGTGGGCAGCTGTAATATGAAATTGAGCTATAATGTGCAGGGGCTGGTTTAGCCAACTTTGAAGCTTGATTTAACTGCATTTAACTCAAAACCAGATCATTTTGTGAAGTGTAAAAAGTAATTGGATTGAAAATGATAGCACTTGAAAGTAAAAATAGTGTTCTGTAAAAACACACTTCTCTTATCATGAAGCCTCTTTAAAAAATAATAAAAAAAAAAGCTTTGAAACCAGAAGTAATACATGTGGAGCAGTTTCAGATACGACATTGATGGAGAAGTTGGAAACACTTCTTTTCACATGCTTTGAAAGTTGAGCATTGTCTCAGCCAAACAAGTGTGAGTGTAGGTCTCGTTAGATGCGGGTGGTGCGTTTAATGTTCAGATTTAATTTTTAGCACTGATTAATAAGGCGGAGGTTCCCTGGCAAGTGCTCAGAGTTGGAAGTGCAGTGGGAAGGGAGGGGTCACCCTGTCTCCCCAGCTGAAGCAACAGAGCACAGCTTCTCCATTTGCCACTGTTCCTGTCATCCAGTTTAGAGGGTTATTTAAAATGCAGTTTTCTAAGAGCTTTATTTGTTGTTGCATAAAGCTACAAGTGTGTGAACTGAGGCAGTATCACAAGCAGAGAAGGATTTGTAGTCTAAGTAGGTAGGTGAGAGTACCAAAGACACTGCAGAAATATGTAGTGTTTCCTTTCTCAGAACCTTAGTACTAAAAAGCTGAGGCTTTTCTAGAGCTTGGTGCTGTCTGGCATCTGTCAAGCTGCAGCTTTTTTTAACCTTCCTGCTGATATGAAGCACCTGGACTGCAGTTTTGCTGTTGTTCCGGCAGGTCTCTGTAGGGGTTGGCTTTGAAAGAGCCTGGCCTTCCTCTGCCTTTGCATCTCTCTCCCTGGGCAGCAGTGTGCCCAGCCATGCAATGAGCTAGCTGCCTGGGGACCTAAGCCAGCTGAGATCAGTGGCTTGAAGTGCTGTTTTGCCAAAGCTGCCTGGCCTGGCTCAGCATGTGCCTGAAGGAGCACTGGTGCTGGAGCAGAGAAAGGGGAAGGAGCAGGAGGGTGAAGGGTGGTGTCCCCCATCAGCTGCAGCCAGCACTTCTGCTACCCTAAACTGACAACAGAACTAGAGTTTTAGTGTGGAAATGGGCTTCTTACATCACTACAAAGTTGTGTTATAAACATTATAAACTAGGTGGGTTTTTTTAATGTACTTAGCATGACTTTCTGAGAAAACCCATTTGTTTACCTCATTGTGAAAATGACTTCAGAAGGATTGCTATTGGAGCAAGAAAATCTCTTCCATAGGCTTGCATCTTCAATATTATTTTTCCTTTATCAATCTAGGTACTATGTTTATCACTTACCTGGAAAGGGAAAATTTAGCTTAAATGGATGGACCAAAAGCTACTTTTACCCATTACCATTTTGGGGGGCTTCGGGGGAAGTTGAGGTACCTTTCTGCTTTGATTAACAGCCTGCTGAACTCATTCATGGTACTTCCTTTGCAAGAATGAATATGCCATTCAGTAGGTTGATAACTAGAAAAAAACTTCAAATATAACTGTGCCTGATGGATCTGTGACACCCAAGTGCACAGAGGTCTCAGACGGGGATGCTGCTGGATGAAATCGTCAGCTGGTCCCCTCACGGAGAGCTGAATTTCCTGGATCAGTTCTGCAGGAACATCTGAATGGCAGCCTCGGGCTCGCTTCCCTTTGTAAGGTTTCCAGACCATGGTTTCAGTGAAGCATTTATCTTCATGCGGCTTCTTTGTCTTAACCATGTCACACGTCTAGCCTGTCTGTACTGCTCTCCTCAGCATGTAAAGGGAGTGGATTTAATTGCAGAAATGAAAAACTACATAGGTCTTCAATTGTATGTAGCTTTAAAAATAATAACTAGGTTTGGGTTTTGTGGGGTTTTTTAAGTTAAATTATTCATTTGTTGACAAGGTGTGAGAAAGGTATTCTTGTAACAGTAGCTTTAGCTGAAAATAATCAGCTTAAATACACACCTGCTAATCAGCTTTCTATTGACACTGTTAAATGGCTATAGCTGAACTTAACATTTCCATAGGCTGTTTTGACCTAAGTACTGTGAATTTTGATTCACAGTAGGATCTAGGCATAGGTTGTCTCAGACAGTGCAGTTTTAATCTTATTTGGCGATGTGGACGTGTTCCCTGGAGTCCCAGCTCCATGGTTTTAATGCCCGTTGGTTTGCACTTGGGGGACAGTCTCAGAAGAGGAACCTGGTGTGCCCAGCTCAGTGTACTCTATGCCCTGCATGTTGCCAAGTTTAAGAGGAACATGAAGGCCCCTGCAGCTTGTACCCTGCACAGTTTGGATTCATCAGCTTCTTGCTTTGAAGTTTAATTGTGCGCACTCCCAAGCTCCTGGATTTACCTTGTAAAACCAATTTGGCTTGCTGTCAGATGGTCTGTTTTGCTGGGTTATTCCATACGACCCTTTCTACCAAAATACCTTTGTTTAATGACTTGAATACGCATTACCATCCCAGAATGGGCCTTTGGCAGTGACCATGTGGCTGTGCTGTGACCGTAGGGCAGATGGTTACCAGACACTGCTCTCTGCTCTCACTGGCTGGAAATGCATGCAAGGATTAGCAATGATAAGTATTTGGGATGGGCTTTTCCAAAGGCAGTTCAGATTCATTAACAATTGGGTTCTGAACTTGGGTTTCCTTAAAATCTCCAGCTACAAAGACTAAACTTCATGATTTGAATGTAAATGCCTTAGTTCTGGGAGCCTGGAGCAGGTAGGGATGTCCTGCTTGTCACCTGGTTTCCCTTCTGAAGAAGCAAGCTAAGTGTATAAATTATTTCTAGTTCCTTGTTTAATTACGTAAGTAGAAATTGCAAGAGCTGCATATTTCTTGAGAGGTACGAAACTACTCCTCTAAATTAATTGCTCTCCAAATTGTTTCAGAGCCTCTTTGCAACCATGCTGGATGTGATCCAGCTCAGTCCTGCTACAAAACAGCAGGTGCAAAGCTGACTCAGCCTGTGCCTGTCTTGGCCCTTTGAAAATTGCCATTCGTGAGCCTTTCTCTGTGGCCTGGAGCAGCCCGAGTGTACCCTGTACAGCCAGACAGATGCTGATCCCCTCTCTCTCCCCTCCAGTTGCTGCATTGAAATTGATAAACTATTTTTTTCAAAATACCTTCATACTCTCTTTTTGTTAATAATAAATTATCTTCTGAATGCTTTGGAGGTTCAGATAAAAGAGACTATTGTGTTTTACAGACAGGTGGAGTGAATGTGATTTGTTTTTCAGGGTAAGGTGATTCTTAAAAATACTTAATAAATAATTCTTTCAATTATTTGAGGCTGGGCCTAACTTGCCACACGTCATACACTTGCTTGCTGACACTTGTAGCGTTTGCAGCATTGGGGGTGGGAACTTACTTCCTGATAAGTGAATGCTTCACATATTTATTCAATCATACCTACTTAAATGTAGCTTACAGCAGGCTTTTTTGGTCTACTTGCCTCATCTCAAGTTGTCCAAGAATAAAAATACAAAATGTGGCTTAACGTCCTGTATTGTTAGCCTCATTATAGAAGTAACACCAAGAGAAACTTGGTCAGAAACTTGAAAGCTTGTTTGGGTAGAATTTTCAATATTGAGAATCTGCCAAAAGCATAAATTAGTTATTAGATATATTTAAAAATATATATTGTATGGAGAAGAAAATGAGCCTCTGTGACTACAGTAGACTTTATGGTCAAGTGAACATACATCTTGCAGTCTGAAATACAACATCCGAGCAATGAAGTGTTAGTGCAGTATAATGTCACTTAATGCTAAATACTTGGGGTTTTTTGTGGTAATTACCCCCCTTTTCACATCCTCTCATCTATTACAATGCTGCCAGCTTACTGTCCTAGTGAACTCAGTTTCAAAATTGCAGTCAGTCTACTGCCTTTTCATAAATCATAACTAGGCCAGTGAGTGACTTGGACAATTTTATGAAGATAACTATTTGTTACAAACAATTTAATACAGGGTTCAAAAAAAAAAATCCAGTATATTTTATCCTCTTAGCATTAGGTTGTGGTGACTTTTAGGGGGAATGTAAGGTGAAAAACGTTTTATCTAAGCAGTTTAGCCATAAGGACTGAATTGCATGATGAATGGTTTATAATTAGAAAAAAAAATTGACAGGAGATTCTGCACAATTGTAAGGTTTTACCTCCTGGCTACTTCTAGTGGAAACATGAAATACATTTTTTGGGGATATGAAGGCAACTTTTGTAGTCCTCTCCTTCAGCTGGAGCTAGTGTTGATGTGGTTTGGTTCTGCTGCCGTTTGCACTATTGCAGGGTGTTGCCATGTGCCTGGTTCTCCACGGTTCTCTCTTGCAGGCATTTGTTTTATGATTTTGGCATGTAAAAAGCTTCACAATGAAATACCCAAGATGCAAGTGGCCACTGTTAACTACTACAGATGAGTGTGTCAAAACCAGCATTTCTGCTCTGAAGATATGCTCTTACCAAATCTCAGAAACTTCCTGTGATTCCCAAAAGTCATGGTTCTGCCCAAAAGAACCAGGCTCTTCATTTCTAACAGTTTTAAGAAGCCTAAAAACCCAGAATAATCTTGCTCCATGTTGTAATAATACAAGGAGAGACTGTTGTATAGTTGGGAGGAGAGACTGAAACAACTGGGGGGGGGGAATATTTATGGCTCCGCTATTTGAATAAAGAAGTAAATATTGCTTCTGGCTGCCAAGTACAGCATTCCATATGCTCTATCCTTAAAGCTTAAAACGGTTTAGTGTTACAGGTAAGATTGAACAGACCATGAACAAATGGATAGTGCATCTTTTCATCTCTGTGGCTCGATTTTTATCTGAAATGCTGTTGAACCACTTGTTCCCTGTTACTTTTTTTGCTCAAGGTTTGTGGTCTGATGTGTGGCATAATGAAGATGTGGAATTGCAGAGGAAAGCACTTTAAGAAGGGAAAGGAAGCACAGTAGTAGTATACAAAAGTGCTGAAGTATGCCCTTCAGGTGTCTATGAAGTGGCTGAGAAGTTGAAATGGAGATATGTGTGTGTGTGTGTGTGTGTGTGTGTGTGTGCTACTGGAAAAGCACATGTTCCAGTTACAAATTTTTGTTTAAAGTTAAGCATGAATTCAATGAGAAGATTCTTAAGTTGAGTAGCCGTCGAGTTTGATTAGTCAGGACTTGTGCAATATCTCCTTCCAGTGGATAGATGGCCAAACTAAGCAATTAGGGACAAATCATGAAAAAGGTAACTTTCTTAAAAGAAGGCAGAACACAGTCATAAAATACATGATTCATTCTGGAGATGGATAGGGCTGTGCAAAATATTTGCTGCAGACACTTCAGTCTCAAGTATTGAGACAAAGTTTGGTTTATGGGACTTCTCATAATTTCAAATTAACAATTCGCTAGTTGGTGCTCTTGCTGAAGCTTCATGCTTCACATGCTCCGTTTCTTGCCACCACCATTATACTGGGAGCTCACTGGTTGTTTAGTAGTTCTGCTGCTTATTTGGATGGCAGAGATTCACGTCGGGCTTGCGATCCACAAGGAAGCATTGCAGCCTCCAGCTTTGTGGAGGCCAGACATTACCTTTAAGGTAACAACATTTAACTGCCAATGTAAGTTTTAAAAGTTTTTGTTTGCCTTTGTAACATTAGTCTTCTCATAAATCTGAATTGCAAACTGCCTGAAGGGGAACTGATGCATCTATTTTCTTTGACAAAGGTGTGGTTTGCTATTTGCTTTTTTCCTGAAGTGCTTTGCATCATCTGAAGCTCCATGTGCTGACATTTAAAGATAAGGCAACGACAGGCAGCACATTCTTTTAGCTAAATGGAGGCAAATTAATAGCTCTGACCTTGCAAATAAAGAATTTAATGCTTGCTCTTTCCTCTGTTGCTTTTAAATGAAGTGGATCATGTGAAGCATTTTGCTACAGTTACCTTAACTGAGGCATGCAAGTTGCCTGCCTCTCAGCTATGCCCTTACTCTTGCTGTAGAAGGTCAGATCCATGTGCATGTGGTTGGCTCTATAGTGTCTCAGTTTGCTGCCTGGTTCTTTGCATTATAAAGTGATATCCCCTAACAGTGATGTTTTCTCTTCCCCAAAAACATGACAATGCAGTGCATATATATTCAATAACTTTATGCCAAGGCAATGTTATAGAAGTGTAAATGCTAATTTTTCCTTTTTTTTTTTTTTTTTTTTTCCCAAAGGGAGCAGTTGTAAGAGAAGTTTGTGGAAGGAATAAAGATAGGAAAGTAAAAATTTTTCTTGGTGGTGGTATAGAAAGTATCAAAAACTCTGAAATCTGCTTGGGTTGCAGGGAATGTTGTGGTAGGTTTCAGCTTAGCCTCTGTTGCATTATTGCCAGAATGAAGAGCTTGGCTTAAATCTGTCCAGATCAGCAGATCTTTCACACAGACCCAGCACTGTTAAGCTTGCTTTTAAGCCTAAATCACGTGCACATCAGTTTCCACGCAATACAGCTCACTCTCTTAATGCTTTCTAGTTCAACTGCAGGTTCCAAGTGATGGTAGCAGGGCCAAGACTCTTTACAGTTTCCTTAAAAGAGAGTGCAGGTGTCATTTATTGAGTTACTCACATGCTTTTAATGAGCTGTAGCAAAGAAGGAATCAGATGTGTTACTGAAGGCGCTCTGCTGGGGCAGGCTGGTTTCCCTCGAGCTGAGCCCACTACTGCTTTGGGAATCAGTCCTTGTAGATGCTGTAATTGATTTATTTAAGACTCAAACACAGCTGTGATGAAAATGCCCTGTACTGCCTGTACAAAAATCCTTAAATCTTCCTGTACTTTTACAGAGTTTATGTTTACATTGTTTGGGCAGTGTGCCAAACTGCTGAGAAGTGCATGCGTGCATGACGTCTCCTGTCTTTGAGGATCACATTAAGATTTTAGTTGATTTTTCTCTTGAGCAGTCACTCATCTGACTAATTTATTTTAAACCAAAGTACTGGAGTCCATATAGAAGCAGTTTTGCTCAAGGTCAGTGATTACACTCTTGTGTTAGAGATCCTGTTTCACCTTGCTTCCAGGCTTTGCGTGCAGCTGGAACTGCGAAAGGCGTTTGCTGCAGTCATATTAACAGTAGGAAAGTGACTCCTCCTATTCGGGCCTGTCTGGCTGGAGATGGGAATGCTAAATTTCAAACTCAAAAAATAGAAGTTACTAACTTCTGTTTTGCCTTTTAACCAGCTGCAAATATGGGGAGACAAACCTAGGCAGTCTTCATAGCATACCTGTGTTAATACAGATGTAAAGAGAATTACACAGCATTTCTCTTTGCTTAATACTCTATACTTTTTGGCTAAAAGTGTTCTGTATCTTGCGTATTTAAATATCTCAGACATACAAACATTAGCAGTACCTTTCAGGTTGGCAGTTCTGTATCGGGCTGTGCATGTCAGGCCAGAATTGCTTCTCTGCTGTATAGCTGAGTGTGAGTAACATTGAATGTGTAGTTTTCAGGATATTAAGACTCTCAAATTTAGCTAAGTGGTTTATATATAAAAACATAAAGTACTCTGACAAATAAGCTACTGAAATGGGATCAAATTAGGTGAAGTAGCAAATGCAATTAATTTTTTTATTGGAGCACTTCAGTCTGTCTCTTGAGACATTCATTCTTCTATGACATGACAAACTGTCACACTTGTGCTTTCTGTGTGGGTTTGTGGCTTAACTAGATTGAATTAATTCGCAGTATAAGAAACACTGAATTTAATATTTTTGCAAAGATCTTTTCATGTGTCCTTGGAGGTGGCACACATCTCATGGATAAATCATATTTGTCTTTGTATATCCATGTTGCTGTGCAGTGTGTTCACTGTCTTTAATACCTCTAAATGAAGATGTGACATTAGTATTGAACTTGATCCAGTTACTTTTTTTTTTCTCTTTTTTTCTTTTGACATCTTCAGTAACCACTTCTGCAGCTTGTGAGAAATTGGAGAGAGACAGGAATGAACTGCAAGTTGCTTATGAAGGGTTTTTGCAAAAGTTAAACCAGCAACATCATGATGACTTAGCTGAGCTGGAGGAGAGGCTTAAACAGTTTTACACTGCAGAATGTGAGAAACTCCAAAGTATCTGCATTGAGGAAGCTGAGAAGTACAAAGCACAACTCCAGGAGCAGGTTTGTAATATTCAAAGCAGAGAAGTTCTCTAGCAATTGATTTCTGCTACAAATGAGTCTTCAGAGAATCTTGGGTTTTCTAATAAGAGAGCTTCTTTATTTAATGTGAAACTCTACTTCACTGCAGCTATAAAAATACTACTACATTAAGCTGTACAGATCTTAAGCTTATGTTTAAACGTGGTAAGATTCCTTGTGTTCTGCCAGCTTCAGCAACTTCTAGAGCTTCACTGGATATTTGAGGCAGCTTGAGATTTAAGATTTATAGAAACACACCTGCCCTCTGACCTTGCTTTGCAACAACTCCATGTGTGTGACAGATGCATACATCATCCTGTTGGTAGTGGTAAATTGTAAAGCATCATTTTCATTTACTGAGTGTTGCACATGGCTTAGCTTCTCCTGTTAAATCCTACTAAACCATTTAAAATGTACTCAATGTACTACATAAAGACATCAAAACGATGCTTTAAACAAGGGTTGATACACGTAAGGGGAGAAAAATCATGTTGTCATATTGCAGGTGGACAACTTAAATACCACACATGAAAGCTTTAAGCTGGAACTCGAAAACAGACACTCAGAAAAAGTAGAGGAGCTGAAAAAGGAGTATGAATCCTCTTTTTCAGGCAAGTATTTTGTATTCAAATACACATGCTATAGTATTGCTAGTCACAAACAAAAATATTTAGGCTTTCTGATCAATATGTCCACTTCATTGTTCTTAGTGGCCAGCTGTCTTTAAAAACATTGGCTGAATTCCTTCCTTTGGAACTAACAAGCCTCATTTTACATACAGCAATAACCATGATCCCATTGTAGTTGAATGAAACTTTTAAAACCGTTTGAGTGGAAGTGACTTTTTCTTTCAGTAGAAAATGTCTGAATTGCCCTCAATGTCTCCAGTGTCTGGTAATTCCTCCTACTCCCTAGTTCAATAAGGAGCACCTCAGAATTGAAACTGAGGATAAGTAGGTTGTATGCTTTCCAGAATGACATGGACATTATACACTGGGTACAGTACACTGGGGCAAAAGTGGTTCTTCAGGGAGGGGGTGGTGAGTGTGCTCTAGGTTTAAATGACATTGTATCTCATTAATTTAAGTGATGATGATTTCCATCCTCCTTCCAACTCCACTTGATAGCCAAATTTCCAGTGACACTTCTGTGTCTTCAAAACTGGTGACACTTCCACTGCTGTCAAAGAGCAAACTCCTCTGCATAGCATCTCTGAAGGAGGCAAGGAAATTTTTTCTAGAATCTTGTAGAGGAACACAATTTCAGTTTTTGCTGTGTTTCCTTCTAGAAACTCAGCTTTTTTCAGATGTGGCCAAATCCATTTGCTGCACACAGATGAATGCTTTCAAAACTGACATGCTCTCAGCTAATGAAATGGGGATATGCAAGGGGACAATCCACAAATATGAAGTGGCAGTAAATCTGATACTTCATACATGCTTTGCATCATTTAATGATAAATGTTCTTTCTGTATTGTCATTGACTCTGCATCTGTGCATATGTGTATAGGCTGGCTTTACAGGCTGTTTCTTTCCAAAAGAATTTTCACTTCTTATATTAAAAATCTGCAAAAATAATTTGTTTCAGAGCTCAAGAGCACCCATGAATCTGAAAGGAAGTCACTTGAAGATTCTTTTAAAGAGAAGCAGGAATTGCTGGAGGTTTGTTAAAGGCTGGGGTCACTGCAACAGTCTAAAACTTGAAAGGCAGTTTGGAGATGTGCAGTCAGTTCTTGACCTAACTGTACCGTGTATTTTCATTTCAGAAAAAAATCGATGAACTAAAAAGTGAAAACGACTCTCTGAGTGAGAAGCTGAAATTAGAAGAACAAAAACAAATAGCCAAAGAAAAAGCCAATGTTGTAAGTCTTGATCTTCAAAAGTAATGTGGATCTACAGATCTTGATTGGGGTTATTCCATAATATGAAAGGTTTGCAATCAAGCCTGATAGGACTCCCATACTTAGTAATATTTTATGTAAGTGGCTCATCTGCCAGTTTTTTGCAAGCACTGTGATGCTGTCTATGAATTTTACCACTATAAATCTATAAAGCTGTTGAGTATCTAAGTCAGGGGTGTAAATAATACCCTAAGCTAAATTGAAGACCTATGTGTATGCAGAAGTTGTGCCACAGCTTTTTTCTGGACAGTTGATAACTGTTCTAACAGTGCTATGATCAGTGTGGGCTTGCATCACTACTACAAAACTCTCTTCTTGTACTTGAGTCTTTAACACATTTATTCAGACATTGATTTGTAGTTGTTGCTGATTTATCCTTCAGATAAACTTTTTTCCTGCCTTTCCTCTCAAGGCTGCTGTTATCATTGATGCTCCTGGGATATAAATGTGCTCTTAGGTTTTTCGTGCACTGGGAGGGTTAGATACAAACATGCTTATCTTTCTGGTTACCCAGAAATAGCTGGAATACCAGTAGTATTGTTTATTCCATAAAGAGAAATTCCATGGCTAAAAACTCACCTAGGATGCCTCCAGTAGAAGTTGCCCTAGTTTTCACTGGAATTTAATTTGTTTGGGTTTTTTCTTCTTACTGCTTATTCTAGTGGCAGGACAGAGCTGCTGCAAGAAGAATATGCAACCACAGTATGTTGCTGTGATGGTGGGATTTTGAACTGTATTCCACAGGCATGCTCAGATCTTGTTTATGTTAAAGGAGCAATAGTCAAGTGCCTTTACAGAGCTGCAAATGCACTTTGCGTCCTGATGCATCATAAACTTGAGGCTTCTCTGTGGAGAAGTACCAGTTTGACTCAGCATACTCTTCTGTACTAAGCAAAAATTCTGCACTATCAGAATTTCCAATAGCCCTTTGAAGACAGAGATGTGTTTACAACTCTCTGGTATCCTTTAGATAGCATCACTTGATATTCCCAGCTTTTTTCTAAAAACTTATGTAGACCTTTCAGTCTTTTTATTTGGCTGTGTGTTCTGCTATGAGTAGCTCATGTGGGTGCTCAGATTAAACTTCAAAAAGACATTTTAAGACCACTGGGCTAGAGGAGGGAAAGACAATGAATTGAATATCGAACATACTGTAAGCTGCATTTAAACTTCTCAGGATTGCTTTTCTCCCTAGCTCCTGGCTTCCATGTAAAGTCACAAGAGGGAGGAAGGAATTGTCTGCTGCCTTCACTGAGGCAGCACAGCATGCTCCACCCCTCACACGGACTTCTGTTCAAAAGGGGTTAAACAAGAATCACTGATGCAATAGTCCTTAAAAACAGGCGGGAGAATGAACTGCATAGGTGATGGAGCCCCTGTTACCTGCAATATGTACTGTCCCTGTCCTTGTGGGACTGTGCCCCATAAAACTGCAGGCATTGCCCTCCAGTATGAGGTTTCTGGCGCAGCAGTGAAGCTGTTACTCAGTGCACTGCACCTGTATTCTTACCCAAATATACTAAAACAAGTTTTGCTTAGATACACAACGCACTTAAACATTGATTTGGCTTGTGTTCCACTTGGACTACCTGGAAATGGACGGAGATTTGCTTTACTTCTCCTTATTTTTGCCTGTGACTTTGCCTTTGAAAAGTAGACAATGTGTTTTATTCTGCAGTGTTTGAATGGTTCCTTACTCTGGAATATAGGTCCTTCAGGAAACCACATATGACCTTGCCCTGTCTCCCTCCTGTCCCCTCCACCTCTCAGAAAACAACAAAAAGGAAGAATAAAAAAGGAAGTCCTAACTTGCTGTATTGTAGATAAGTCATGGATGTACAGCAGTGCAAGATTTGTGTGTGCAATTGCATTGCCAGGCTTTAGCAGTAATGTAAAACTGAAAACTTTGAATTTCTGCTTATAAACCTTCGGACTCAAACCAGGGAAGATCAGTCAGGTTCTGAGGTTAAACTTCTGGTGCTTTTTTGAACTATTCCAGTGTCTGAAGACTCTTCAAATGTTTACTTTAATTATCTCTTGGGATGGGTTATGAGTAATATGAAATAAATTTTGGAACTCCTAACCTTAAAGGGAGCCTTTGGGCACTCCTGTGAAACAAGTTTTGCTGTGACAGCGTTAGTGCCTTGAGTCACAAGGGTTTTTCATGTCTGTGTATGAAGTGTTTTCTGAACAGCTTCTGAGGAAAACTGCAACTGTCCACCTACACCAAAGGAAAAACAAAGTCAGAGAAGAAGGTCGTATCAGATCTCGTTATTTATTCTAAACTGTTTGACTTGATTTCACTTAGAACAAGAAACAGTTGTTACCATAATTATTTTCTTGCTTTTTCTGAATAGCAGAGAAGCAACTAAATTGTTCCTGAAATTCAGGGCACTAAGCAAACTCTCTGGAAATCTTTCAGAAAAACCCACAGATTATGTACCTGGAACAGGAGCTGGAAAGTTTGAAAGCAGTGCTGGAGATCAAGAATGAGAAACTCCATCAGCAGGATATAAAGCTAATGAAGATGGAAAAACTGGTGAGTGTTTCTAGGAGTCTGGCAGATTGGGGTCATGTCTCTGAGTTGTGTTCTGATAATGACCTCGGACTGGTCAGACTCAACAAGAATTAATATTTTTTGTTTAACAGGAAACATGAAATCACGATGGGACATGCTCACGTTGTAGGTACAGCAGTCAGGGCTGTAATGTAAAGAGGGGGAAAGAATGCCCCGATGCTGTAAATGACCATGTTCTCTTTTTTACTTCCCTCTCTTCTCCCTCGTCCCTGGAGAAAAAAATCCTTACCTGCTACATTTGCTTGAGTGGTATGGAAGATAGATTGCACTGCCAGGAAAACATTAACAAGGAAATTATCCTAATTTAATAAGAAGGGATCAAATATGAAATAGAATAAATGTTGATTAGCTTAGGTCATTCATTTTAGCTGTTATCTTTAAGGTGCTACTTTAGCTGTGTGGACTTGCTCCTGACTGGTGTGTAATTCCACATGAAAAGACAATTTTGGGGGCAGAACTTGTAATTACTCAGCATGCTGTTATTTGTGTCAGGATGGGGTCCTTCTTCTGGGTGGGGCCTTCGAACACTGTTGTAATACTTGCTTAAGCAAGACTTTAATGAGGAAGTATAGAAAGAGGTTTGGATACAAAGGAATACATTCAAGTCAGTTGCTCAGTGTTGTACATCAGCATATGTTACCCTGGTCTACAGTTACTAGTAAATTACTAGCAAACCTTCATCTTTCCTGAGATGTTGGCCATAGTGTAGAAGCCCTTGGATTATCCAATCATTTATTCAGTTTTTCCCTAAAATGCAGTGGAATCAGGAGAGCAACAGAGAAAGCTGTTTACACAGGGGAGCTCCTAAATTTGGCATGTTACTGTGTTATTTCTAGACAGGCTTCTGTCTGCAACAGCTTCTAAAACTGCTGGCTGTCACTGGCAGAAGTTACTAGAATGTGCTGGTTAACAAGTAGATCCCTTATGCAGTCCTCTTTGCTGGCATCTAACCAGCACAAGTGGCCAAGTGCCAGTGTTACACAAGGATAAGGTAAGTAGGATCTATTTGACGTTACAGAACATTAAGCCATGGCAGCAGGTCAGTCTGACGTTATTTCAGGTTTTTATATCTACTGTTAACAAGGTCTACAAACTCCAGATTACGAATGTCTGTGATAGCTCAGTATTTTGATGAGCGAATGTATAGGTTTTATTTTAAACTGTGACCTTCTTTCTAAGGTGGAGAACAACACAATTTTAATGGATAAATTAAAGAAGGTTCAGCAAGAAAACGAAGAATTAAAAGCTCGGATGGACAAACACATGGAGCTTTCAAGGTGAAAAATATCTGTGGACTTTTAGATGTGATGAGAAAGAAATTTCTGTATAAATATTAGTGAATGCAGTTTTGTAGTACTGTGTAAAAGAACACATCCCTTTCTTCCTCACTTGTATCTCTACAAATGTGCATTCCTTTGTAGAAGAACAAGCAGGAACAGACTGTAAGGGGGTAAAGGCTCAGTATGTTCTTCACTGCTCAAAACGAACATTTCAGGGAAGAAAAAGCAACTTGGAAATACCCTTCTACAAAGATTGTCTCTCTTAAGTGAGCTAAACTTGTGTTTTAACCACTTCAGTGAGTGATTTGTCCCCAGTTTAGATCAGTGTGTTATATTTAACAAATATGTGTTACATTTATCCAAAATGTGTTTTATTTAGCAATAACAGTATTATTTAACATGAACAAAGCAGGTCTGAGGGTTCTCCTAACTTCAGCTTTTGCTTAAATCGATGGTCAGACTCTTCCAGTTCGCATCTTCTATGTAGAGCTGAGCCTGCAACAAGACCCAAAGGTTCCAGCACAGCCATTTAAAAACATCTATTACTTTAAGTAGGACAAGTCTTACTCTTCAGAAGTTTTTTCCACCCTTTAGGGATGTTTCTTATTGAGACTTTCTTCTGCTTTTTACAAGCTACCAGTTTAAATCCAGCAAGGATGAGAACATGCTATCCTCCCTTTAAGAATGGAATTTAGTTGTGAGCCAAGCAGGGGTTTATGCACTTTCAAACCTTTCTTTACAATTAAGTTCAATACTGTAGCTTTCAGCTTGGGTTATGTGTTCTTATGTAAATCTTCTGTTTGCAGGCAACTTTCTACAGAGCAAGCTGTTTTACAGGAGTCACTAGAGAAAGAATCAAAAGTAAACAAACGCCTGTCAATGGAAAATGAAGAACTTCTGTGGAAGTTGCACAATGGTGACCTATGCAGCCCAAGAAAACTGTCTCCGAGTTCTTCATCTGTGCCTCTTCAGTCCCCAAGAAATTCTGGTAACTTCTCTAGTCCTGCTGTGTCACCAAGATGACATCTCTTGAGAGAAAGAGGGGATTGCATTTCGTTTCTGATCTGCAGAACCAATCTTAATTTTAATCACAGGAGCAAGAGCTATATTAGCCGACTATGACATCTAAACATAACTGGAAACTATTCAGTGCAAAAATGGCGAGAAGAGACTGTGAATATGGGAGTAAGACATTCGCTCCTCCCAAAAAGACTTGTTTATGACCTCTATGGACATTGTTGCACAAAGCACTTAAAGAGCAAGGAAAGACTTGTTTGTTGCCTTTTCACCTAACTCTAAGAAGAAGCTCAGGGGCTTAGAGATAAAGATCACAACCTTTATAATATGTTCCTTATCACCGACACTTTTTTAAGGCCGTGTGTGTGTGCGCGTGTGTGTGCTGTGGATGGAATGGATGTAACACACTGTGCGTGTGTCTAATGCTGCCTTCTTTGCTGTGTACGTAATAAAGGATAAAAGCTGAAGACTATACTTCATTTACTTCCTTGATACTGTTGACAGTATGCATGCTTTTAGCAGAGTAGCCTTGCCCAGCAATGAGGAGAAACAGCCACTCGTACTGTAGGTTAGTTTCCTTCAGCTCTCTGGCTTCAGTTTGGTAAAAAAATGGCATGAAAAGCTTTGTCAACTGACTCATTAGTGTCTTGGCCAACCTAAGTATGCAACTTTGAATTAATTTTAAAAACAAACTGAATTGCAGCCGTATTTTGCATGGGTTCTTGGTTTTTTTCTCTGCCATTTAGAAGGAGACATTTTTTGCAGGATACAGTGGATTTTGGCTTTCAAGTCAACAGGGTTGTAGTCAGAACCACAGTAGCCCTCGAGGTCAGAAGTTCTTATTTGAGCTGCAGGTTTAGAAGCCTAGACTTTAGCATCTTACCAGTTGAAAAGGAATTGCTAATTTCCCAAAGCATCAAGTCCATTTCTGAGGATACACTAGATGTAGATTGGAAAGCCAAAGCAAAAAATGCAATAATTGTCACTAGGTGCATTCTTAACTCAGTTCTCGAGATGAATCTTAAGTAGTTGGTGAATTTCAATGTAGCTGGTGACACACTTACTTTGCCTTTTTAAGCATTAGGATTTGTATGAACATTCCTCAGGGTTGGCTAAATTCACCTGAGGAAGAGGGAAAAGGTGGTATCTGTGTATTTCGTCTTGCTAATTCTGCCATACCTTCCCTTTTAGACTGCAGGATATTGGTCTTTTGCTAGTATTTGGTGAAAGATCCTGTACTAGAGATTCTGTAGAGTAGGGGGGGAAAATTGTCCTGGCTGCTGGAACTGGAGGACAAGGGTGTCAGTGTTTCTGGAAATGTCACATGATGAGCTTTAGCTTCAACAAGGTATTCATTTAGCCTTGCTCCACCCTTGATCAGACCTGTTTAAGATATCTGCTTTTTACCTGCTAAACACAGATTCAACTTCAAATTGGTATTACAAAACCCTATCGATGTTTACAGTAGCTTGGGTTTTACAGTAGGGCCAGGACCACCGTTACAGTACTGGTTAGCAAATGCTGTTAGCTGGACATACAATTTGCCATGACAGTTACCAGTATCTGCTGAGTTTCCCTGTGTTTCTTAGTAGTTTGAGGACAGGAGTCAGGGGGGAGGGAGAGCATTCAGGGAACTCAACTGGAGAACCACTTCATTTTACCTGACTTGCAAAACCTTGGCTAGTACTGAGGAATACAGACATAGAAACAAGACTCTTAACAGTGCTCATACAGTAAGTAAATTTGTAATAAACTTGTGATTGACTGTTTCATCATTAAATTTACTTAATCTTTCATAACGTACAAGTTAAGGGTGCCATTTCTATAGAATATTATGCTTTCTTTTAATCCTTTTTAGGGCACTGTACATACCACTTACTGGTGGTTTCAGTACTTAATATGTTTTTCAAATTTAACTACGAAGATCCTGTGTTGGCTACAACTTGGCTTAAAGTATCTCTTGGAACATTCTTATTTTCTATGGTCAGAGATTTGATTGCATGTATTTGAGCTGAATGCTTTACAATAAATTTTTTGTACCAATTTAAGGATTTTTCTTCTGCTTGTATTAGTCAAATAATCTTTAATCTAAGGAGGAACATTCCTCTTGCTACTAAAAACTCTTAGTGCCTGCTCAGCACAGCAGAACAGCAATAGTGAAGCTTCACTGCACAAATTAATGTTCAGCTAGCCCTTTGAAAATGCTACCCTTGCTACTCTAATGTAAGTAGAAGTTACACAGAGCTTGCTTGTGATTATTAGCAATTCAGTTTGAGTTGGCCATTAACAAAAAAAAAAATGTAGATTAGGTACTCAAAGTGCATATGTCTGGTAAAGGCATCCTACAGAACTCATTAAAATGCTCACCTTATTCAGGAAGTTTTGTGTGTGAGAAAAGCCACAGTTACAGTTTAGCAGTCTAAGAGGTCATGTCACAAGAACAGTTGTCCAGCCACTGGTAAGAACTTTATTACATTAGTTGCAAAGTAATGCCTCAAATAAAACATGCAGGAAGATTGCATACAAGTGTTTGAAGGTCAGATATAGCATAGCCCTTCATGTAACAGAGCAGGGAAAGCTTTTCCAGGCTACTGGTACAGAAAAGTAAGTATGGTATAGTAAGTAATACAAAGACTGTTCATTTGTTGATAATTTCCCACAGTGCACAGGAGACTCCTCATCTCTAAATTGCTTGCAAGTAAAATCTTAAATGCTTTTATGAAGAAATCAAGACTGCTTGTATATAGAAATCAGACTACAAATAACACCTGTTCAGTGTTTGTCCTTTTGGTCTCAAAGAATTAAATAATTCTATTAATCTGTAAATACTGTTTTAATGTTTTTCTGTTTGAATATCAGTATTTCAAGCTTTACCTTGGGTACCATGTGTTAGCAAAAGCTTTGTTCAGTGCAGTAACTTTTACATATTTTTGGGTTAGAAGTTAGAAGCCTGCTCACCACAATCATAGACCAAAGGTCAAGCAATTAAACAAGTGATTTTCTTCAGATACTGAACTTTAACTAGTAGTTCTAACTCTAATGATAAGCTTCAAAGGAAGTTACAGTGACATTTGTATCTGTACCAAGTAGTTTCTTGCCATTCAAACTGTTCATAATATGGTTCACCTTCAATTCACCCTTCAATACTTTTCTCTAAAGGTCGTTGTATGAGTTGCACTGTATTTGCTGTAAAATTTGAGGTGAATCATTTCCTTAAGCTAAATGAAGATGTTTCTCATTGCAAACACCAAAGACACTTGCATGTAAACTGGTATCATGCAATTTATGCAGGAAATTCCTTCTAGACAGTAAGTAACCACTATATTTAAAACTGTAGTTGCCCAACAGCCAGGAAATCATTTAGGGCTGAGCTGGAGTTAAAAAGGTCATTAGAAAGTCAGGATAATCACTGAATGTTTAAGAAACAAATACCCTCTGTCCACTGCTGCTGCCATGCCTCAGAAGAGCAGTGACACAGGTATGGAAATGGAAAGAACAGTACTGGCAGCTTTAGGCATGTAACCTTGACAAGTCATTTACATTTCATTTCCTAGGCTTCATTCTCTTACCCTGGGTCACTGTTCATTTAGGTGGAAATGTGTAACTGCATCAGCCCTGCCCAGGAGGTTTTTAGTAAAATATATAGTAAAATAATTCTCATAGTTTTAAATAAGAATTATTTCAGTGCTTGGGAGGAAGGACAGGGGATGATGGACAGGACATGACACTTGTGACTATTCTTCCTTAAAGGCACTGCTTCTGTAGTTGTTATCAGTCACGAGAACTGCACCTGAGGGGACTACTCAAGCTATGTGATTTAAGCCATCTCTTCCTCTCCTGCCACAATGTGTTCAATGAAGTGATGCCACCACATGAACCACTGTGCTATGAACAAGTCTGGGCAGGTGGCACGATCTCCCACTTGCTACATATTCTGAAGCAAATCAATTGTTGAATTAAAGGCTCAAATGCACTTTGAACTACAGTTGTAGTTCAACTTAGGAGTTGTGCCAGCTTCCTAAATTTCAAAGGGAAATGCATTGTTCTTATAAATGGAAGTGCTAAAAAGGAATTAATACACTGCACAGACGCCTCCAGAAGATAAGGGATTCTTAATTTGGTCAGATTAAAAAAAAAAAAAAGATACAAAACCAATTTTTCCCCTAAAAAATGGTACAAGGACCTTTTTCAGGTATGACATTGTATAACTTGTTTAGTCATTTGGGTAACACTGTAATGTTCTTGATACATTTTAACAGATTAACAAGAATCTGCCTCTTACACCTTCAAGGTTGGTCCTGCTGCATACCATGTTTAAGTTTTTTTTTGTAGATACCTTGATTCCAGAGGCCAGAGATACTATAAGCACCTGGGGAGTGTTGTCCATGAAGCCTGTTAACATGAGACCTGCATAGAACCATTTCAGTCTTTACTGCGGGTATTTATCAGTTACATTAATTTAGGTTCCTGCATGCTGAGGAAAAAGTGTTCAGCAAGCTTGTTTAACGTTTTCATTAGCTACACTATTCAAGCTTCTGACTTTACTGAGAAGCTGCCATTTTTACATTAGCTCTTACATCTATCACTGCTCAAAACAGTGCTGTATGCATTTGCTCAAGGGTCTGAATTAGCTGGAGCACAGTGTCACCTCAGGCCTTCACAGAAGAAAGCGTTAGGAATTCCAGTCAAAGGCATGCTGAGACAGACTGAAGTGTGTGAGCAAGGGACCAGTTCCTGGTTTGGTTCCTCATATGCTCAGAATAACCTGTTTGTCACATGCCTTATAAGTAAAATGCATCAAATTTTTCTTGTCATTCAATTCCGCTACTGAGAAGTAGATTTGTATTGGAAGTTCTAGCTTACATGAATTTGGTGCTCGAGGCTAGGAAGAAAAAGCATTGCCAAAATATCCAAAAATGTTGTTACCAGGTTCTTAACTCTTCCTCTGGCATGTCTCTTTCCTTGCATTAGTTACTAAACCCAGTGGCTTATTTATCCAGTTATAATTCTGTGTAAATGAAACATCTTTCCTTTTCTCCTAAGTAAATCAATACAATCAAGTTGAACTTATGAACCTAAGAAGAAATTCTGCTGTATAATTGAACATTATTCTAATGTTACATTTGCTTTTTTTTCTTCTGTAAATGATAGTATATATGTATAAATGCAAGTTTTACCTTTAGCAACCGTAATTCGCTACATAAGTT